GAGAGAACAAACCAGATTCCAGCTGAAGAGGAAATTCGGAAAAGACAATGGAAATGGATAGGACATACACTACGCAAATCGTCAAACGGCATCACGAGACAAGCCCTAACTTGGAATCCTGAAGGAAGGCAGAAAAGAGAAAGGTCAAAGAACACATTACGTCGGGAAACAAAAGCGGATATGAAAGGATGAATAACAACTGGAAGGAGCTGGAAAGGATTGTCCAGGACAGGATTGGATGGCGAATCCTGGTGAGCGGCCTATGTTCCTTCACGAGGAGTAACAGGCGTAAGTAAGTAAGTAAGTGGTTTGTCTGGTTGGTAATATAAACCCAGTATGCTTGAAATAAAGGATTCATATCGCAGAGGCTGAGATTGGTGTTCTGGACTTAACTAGCTGGGCTAGACGGAAAGTAGGACCAATAAGGACTCTAGACTGCTCACACGGGTTTTATACGTCGTTGGTCCGATCGATAATTCACTGCTCTCCAATTGGCGGTATCATTACGCTATACATTAGCAGGGCACTCAGGTCACAATTCATAACAATATGGAGTTCGGAAGCAACAAGAATCTAAAAGTAAGATAGAGTTTAGTCTAGATCGTGGATTTATCAAGTAAACCTCTACTCCATAGTGAGTAGTAGAACATTGTAATATCAAGAGACATAAAATTGTGGTTGCATTCTTTTTTACCTGAAAGCTACATCTGACTATGTTGGACCACAGGTTTATATGAACTATTCGTCATTAAAATAAGTACTGAAGTACAGTGACCTACTGAAGGGCCTTCACACGAAAACTATTGATAGAGTCAGAGATCACAGTGAACTTTTAACTGAATCAGCTACATTACACAGTGTCTGTTAGGACTCCTCCACATTAGTTATCTTTACTTAACTTCTGATAAAATTTCAATGCATAAAAATGCCGATATAGGACAAGTCAGAATTTATGCCTTCCCTTACTATAGAGAGAGAACTAATTAGGATTCTTGATCGCTTCATTTAAGTCGGTGAACAACCAAATCTAAGCATGGATAAAAAATGATTACCCAATATTGGTCAACTTATGCTATGCGTGGTATAGATAAGATGTCTTATTTGTTTGTCATTGGGAAAGTATGCAGTGAAACAGTTGACTTCGTAATAATTCACGACAGTGAAATATGGTTTGTGCAACTGTATTTAAACCAATGGTCATGTACGAGGAAATAGTCGAATGGATAAGATTAATAGTAAAGTTTAGGATAACAGTGGAAAATTGGTTGATGAAGGTATAAACCTTCACCCATTGAAATGATTATAACATGTGTTACACATATCTCTAGTTATTCACAAACCTCAATAGGTTAGTTAGTATAAGAGTTAGCTGGAAGAAGTCTAAGAGTGATTTTATGTCTAAACAAATATATAGAATGGTAATATCAATACAGTAAACTGATGATCACTTTGTCTTGAAATCAATCAAGACAATATTGGTCAGTCCTAAACAGATTAATACTGAACAGCTTATACATTGTGGTAATCAACTCTGTATGACAGTACACTATGCTTGGTGGTAATACGTCCTCCTCGGAAAAAAATTTAAAATTTTCCGTACTTTTTTCTTCTTTGAATTATAAATAAAATAAGAAGTCCAACATTTTTTTCTTAGTTATTATTGGTTGTATGTACTTTTTTTAATAAAAGAACTTGTTAACGAAATATAGACTGAATGTTTAATATTATTTCATACCTAACTATAAATTGTACAGCTTAATTTGCATGGACTTTATAAATGAATCATTATCTGAATATATATTTATGCTTTTTCTTCAGTCTGTTTTATTCAAATTAAGTGTAGAATTATTTAAAAATTACATCAGCTGAGCAATCATGCTACAATTAGAGAATATTTGATATTCTGTCTTATCCTTTTTTGGAGGTACGGATGTGTACATGGTCAGTCAAGTTGGAAGTAAAGCAACGACTTACACGAATGGCATCTTACAATGGTTGTGATAAAATGTGAACTAGCGTAACAAATGTGGATGAATTAGTCAACCACAACTGAGCACGTTGCAAGAAACGACGCTGTTAATTGCTGAATAGGACTGCGCTAGTAGACGCACATCAATTGATTAAAGTCTACACGATTATCATAACTAACGGTCGCAGATTTTGGATGATATTTTTTAAATTGGTCTTAATGGTGCAGATGGATTTAATCTTTATCTTCCCTTACATCATGAGTCTTAAAATTAACGGACACTTTATATTTCGCGAATACGTTCTTGGGTCACAATATTTATGCTTAATCTTTTTTACTACTGTTATTACTCCTATTAATCTGGCATTCATCTTAATAATTTCATTTCACTGTGTTGATATGATGTGGTAGCTTCAATCGATGCATATATATCGGCACAGGTCCGAGGTCGTATAAGTCGATGTTCTGATTGACAATCTTGCCATGTGATAATTGATCGACTATAGGACAAGACAGTAGCTACATCTCAAAGCTGATGTTTACTTCGCGATTCGAAACTAGTACTTTTCATTTCGACCGCCTAATGAGTTATTGATATGATGGAAAGAAAAGTCAAAATTATATTGATTTTGTTCAACATTATTTTCGTTTTAATCCAATGTGATGGTTACTCAATATAGTGTTTATTTTGTTTTCCCGCATAATATTACGATACTCTAGTATTAAGTTAACATAAACTATCTTCAGCATATGATTTATTATAACTGTGAATATTTTTCGTATATGTAATTTGATTTTAATTATTAATCAAAATAGGTGCACGAATCAATATATAAATGAGTGACTAGGTTTGTCGTTATGTTTTGGAGTTACTAGCAGAGCTCAGGAGCCGAATCTGGCGTTCAAAAAGAAGATATAAGTTATCTACTTAGCTACTGAGTTCATATAACCAATCATTTGTGCAACAGGTATGAATTTTGATACAATTTGTAATGGTTTTGGATTATCACAATTTTTGGTATTTTCGACTCAATTTCGATCGGTCAAAAATATCAACAATCGAATTATCCAAAAAAATATTACAAACTAAATGAAGAGCTAAACAGTTATCAATTACTTATTGATTTTCAATGATTCAAAAGATCAATTCTTTTGGGTGACTTGAGTGATTATTTCGCATCTTATCAGCAAAATTATCGCATAATTGATTCAGCCATGTAGGTGGATGCAGATTACCTGGTTGGGGTCCTCAGAATTGTCGTAACCAACACTTACGAACTTTTTATATGGCTCAGGATCATTAGGAATAGCACAGATGTATTCCGTTTTTGTCTTCACTTAAAATCCGAGTTTCGAAATGTTCTTACACCTTTTTTCTTTTCTTATACTTAATGTTTTCTACTACTCTGAGATTTGTCCAGTAATAGTTTTATATCGTTGACATAATGCGGCTTAGTAACTTGAACTAAAATACATCCCGGGTTCTATGTTGCATATGATTGACTGACTGACTATTCATAACAACAAACAAACTATGAACTCATTCGAAAGGGTTTTTTGATAAACATCGCATAAATTATTTCTCTTAAATAGAAGAGTAAGTCGGTGAGTATGAGCAAACTAACATTTGCACATTTCTGATCACATTAGAAAGGATATCCATAAAAAAGAAGAAGAATTGAACTTTATCAAAAATCAACTATTAAACATTCGGTAAATCATATTTTAATCGATCGGACTTTAATACTAGATCATAAGCCATTCTTATCATTGTTTTAATTTGATCAATATTGTTTAATTTAGTCAAAGTAGAAGTAAACATTTCATATGAATACGGCAGGAACAATAAGTGATGCAGAATAAATTGAGTTCAGTAAAAATCTTGTAAATTTTCGTTAGGTTTTAGTCGTGGGATTATAATTTCCTATTGATATTTAGAACTGCAAAGGATAAGTCTCTGTTGTGATAGGTACAACCTGAAAGACTGGTAAAGATACATAGCCATTAACTTGTTCAACGACTGGGGAAGTATTAGCAAGGGTTTATGATTTTCAAGTGCTGGAAATCATGATTGTAATTGGTCGGTCTCTGTTGTTGTTTTTGGATCTTATTTGTATCGAAAGACAATATATTACTTGATAAACAGACATCACACAGAATCGGTTACGGTGACCAAATGAATTTTTTTGTCTTCTTACCAATCTTGAGTTTCAATGCGATTTCATAATTTCTACTCTTTTATTTAACTCTGTCTTACCGAATCATATTCTCCACGTTAAGCTTTACTCTTTCATTTCGACTCCCCTTGATGTATGGTATTGATATGATGTGCCAGCTTAAGCCGAGATACATTTATGTCAGGATGTATATATATTATGACCAGCCGATTGACTGTAGGCAGATATAGTTCAAATCCAACCGAACCACAAATTTACCGTTTAACTTTAATCATCGCACTTCACAAGTTGAATAGGAGTGATAATTAAGTTGTTCGGAACAAGATATTTGTTTGTCAAATACAGTTTTGTAATTTTGCTTTTTATTGATGAAAAAATTATTAAAATGACTTGCTTTCCTCAGCTTATTTGACTGACAAAGTATACAACACTTTGAATGTATTGCATGTTTCATGAACCTAAAACTCGAGAAGTATGTGTTTACATTAATAAGACAATCAACATAAGATTGATTACTGAGTTGTGAAGCTTTAAAAAATCAGCTGTTGAAGTAATAAAAGCTGACTTTCATGTAAAACAATAGCTGAAAATGGAGTTTGAGGGGAGGAGGACCTTACATAAATGCATTTTTCAATAAGTAAAGAATATTACTGGAACTTTGGCAAGCATCGATTGAGATTTTGTGACTTTGCTCTACTTGTAGTGGAGACTTTTAAAGCTTACAAGATTATTAACATGTCTCTAGGGAGTACAGATCCTATCGTCATGTAAACTGAATTATCTCAAGTAAAAATAGAATTCACAAGGTAACATCCCCGTAAAAAACCAAAACTATACACATAGATATTAGTTACCTCACCACCTAAAACTTCTAATTGATGGCTTGATAGTGACTGTAAAGCACCGGGAGGAACAAGTAAGACGTTATTACGTAAAAGTAATGGTCCACGTAGACGAATCTTTACTCCAGGTCGAAGTTTTTTTGATAATTCTTTAAAAGGTAAAGAAGATCGTGATCTTGTGGATTGGGTGCCAAATTCAATAACTTTGATTTCATTTACTCCATCAGTAAGAAATAGAGTGAGACAATTGGCCATTGTTGACTGTCTAAAATTGTTTGTTTGACTTGCTTCAACAGAAATATGAGAAGAGAACACGAAAAATATGTTTAAAGGTAGAGAATAATGAAGTACTGGATATATGTGAACATTAGTATCTAAGCAATGTAAACAGTGTTTTAATACCCTCCGCTTATTTCGAGCAGTTGAGTAGTATGTTTACTCACTTTATCCACAAAAAATTAATATGCTTCAATGTTTGATAGATGCTTGCACACCTAAATCCAGAGTTTGAGCGCAAAGAAGATTAATTGGATTACCAATCATTAAGTAACATGATTAAACACACTTCTATTGATTCGCTGAGAGCAAGTGAGTAATATATCTACCATAAAATCATCAGATTAATAGATTATAATCAAGCATTTGCACTTGACTATCGAGGTAGATTTTGCCATTTAATCAAGAACAATGTAGAAAATATATAACATAATCTACTTACGACTTTGATTAAGATATTGACTAAAAGCTTGTGTCATTTGTGTAGCATGTCCATCTGGATTATTTTCACCGTCTACTTCCAATGAAGGTAGATTTACGCTCAAATTACCCTCATGTCGTCTCAGTTGACCATAGTATGATTCACCTATGTTGAATAAATTGACAACCTAAATTAAACAAATAAATCAATGAATTATCAGTTATAGCATTTTTAGAATTTTTGTTTCAATGAAAAAAAAGTTAACACTCACAAATATAGTACAGTTGTAGACAAATCGACTATAAAATCATACCGTAATGGTGTGGGATTTTATGGACGAAATTTGTTATTAAAGTGAGTGAATAAAATGTCGATTGATAGATGATATGCAATGATACGATAATACTTAGTTAAGTGATAGATACTTACGAAACTGAACAATTGATGTGAGTCATTAATCATACTGATATCTGAAGACAAGACAGTTGTTCAGTAGAACAGGTTTATTTTCCTAATGAAAGAATGCACTTATATTCAAGATATTGAAAATAAGTATAAACATGATTAGAAGTCACTTAATAAATAGACAATCTAAGAACATACGAACCACAAGTCACTCTTTAACAGAGTTAATGCTTAACTATTAGGCATAATTTTTGGCACACCATATCACTTATGCAGTCTCAGAAAATTTGTTAACTACATTTTGACAGTTATCAAGAATCAGGACGAATAGGCCTCATTAAGCGACCATAATACTTCAAAAAAAAATAATCAGTTAATTACTATAACTGATTGATCAAGTACAATTTCATGTACTCGGGACTTTTAACTGGACCTTCCGTGTATGAAAGCTAGTAATACTATTCGGCTACCCATGCTAAAGTAGACAGAAAAGAATTTCAAACTTACTACCTACTGGCTGAAAGTAGGATAGTTTAGTCACTAAGCCATTGTGCATCACATACAATAAGTAGGTAGTTGATTGAAATAATGTTAAACCTAATGTTCATAAACACCATAATTACTATTGTCAACAAATCAAATCGATACGACTAAACATTTTCAGTATGTGTCCCGCTAAAGTAGATCATACTGAACTGATAACTTTACCAACTAATAGATATGTATTACTTGATGTTTTAAATGTATTCACAATGTTGATCGATTTAGAACAATAAACGTTTACAAAATTAAACGTAAAAATTCAATAATGAGTTGTATCACAAATCTTACTTGAAGACAAAGTTCACCATCCAGCTTAAGTGCAGGTGAATTCATGGTATTCGCATCAGTACCACTGCTAAGCGAATTGTCATGGGGATTTCTTGAAGTAGATATAGTTGACGGTAGAACTGGACATTCTAACTGCTTCAAATCAGAATGAAGCCATTGCTCATATATTAATTGACACCAATCAGACTTTGTAAGACGATTACATGCATCAATACCTCCATGCTCTTCAGCAAGCCAAGCCACACAAGCATCAATCCAACCAGGAGGTACATGAATAGCTTGACTAGTAAGCCAGGCGCTAAGTTGTGCTACACCAGTATTTATATTCAATGTTGAAATAAATGATGTAACCATAGATATTGTACTATAACGTACAAATAATAATAATCAGTAATGAATAGAGGTTAGTCTTTCTCATCTATAAGTTAAACATTATAGAATCTAAAGAAATCTAAAAAAACTATTATTTACCAGGTATCTTTTACATTTGATACTTACAGTACGATAACGGGAAAATTAAAATAGCTATTCGAAAAAATGCCAGTCTATGTGATCTAGTTGTTTTCGATACGTTATAACTGCATGTATTAGGTTCCTTGAACGATATCAAACTACAAAAATAGAGTTTCAGAAACTGCTTTCCATGAATATGCTATTATTTCTATGGAAGACAAGAAGTCATTAGTTAAAGTATGGATGAATCCACATCAGTTTATAAATATAAATTACGAAACTCTACTTCATGCAAAACACTAGTTGATTTTCTGAAAAAAAACTTGTTATTGATATACTTCCTTGAGATTACCGATTCATCAGACCAAATATAATCACACTTTAAATGTACAGTCAGTCATAATCACCGTAAAGTCTGGTAAAAAGGATTAATAGGCTCAACTAGTCACGCTACACCAGCATACAGAAACAAAATTGACAAGATGAATAGCAGAGGAATCGAAATAATGGTGATATCAATGATAGTTAAGAAACATCAACACTGAAAGTATGGTTCGAAAAGAACGAGCGAAAATGAAGTGTGTATGAGGAAGTACTTGAACCTAATGTTTTGGAGGAAGATAAAAAGGGAATGAGTCAGTGATCGATTTCAAGTCATATTGCCTGAAGCCGTGGTTACGGTGTAAACTACAATCAGATGGACTGCCATATACCACAACACGACTCAAACAAACAGTCAATGAGTTAATGAACTAATAACATCCTTTGATTTAGAGGCTCTTAAATTTCTTTTAAATTACTTCTGTCATACTCGACGTATGAAGCAACTGACTATAAGCAACTATTTCTAAATGTATCTATTAACTGCCTAGATTGTATTGAATAAGTTTAATATTTTTTTGAATAACTTAGATGTAAAATTTATATCACCAAACAAATGATAAGGCAGTACACATCAAGTAAACAGTCTAAGCTACCAGGCATATAGACATACACAAATAAAACAATACTATCAACTGCTTAATAAAAAAGTAGTCATCTGACTTCCTTACAGATCACACAGTGTAAACTAGGTAGTCGATTTACTATTACATTAAAAAAGTCAAAATACAAATGAAAGGGAGTGGTAAAACTAATAAAGGATTCATAAAATATAACAATTATTATACTTCGATCAAACAAAATCATACGTTTATGGAATGAACAATCAGCTGATACATGTAACAACAAAAAATTTGGAAAACCCATGAATCATTCAAAATGTAATTAGTTTACTAGTATTTATTATATGAAAAAGTGAAGCGCAAAGCACAGAATTTTCGTAACATACCAAAGGGGAAACATTTAATGATAAAATAGATACCATCTTATTATTAGGCATTAATGAATGATTAAAAACTGTTCGTATGAAAGCTTACTAATATGAAAGATAGACAGTAGAACACTTTGAATCTACATGTGTCCAAATCGTGTAAAATCTAAATTGCTTTATCTGACACTGCAATTGATATAACTGTGCTGTGAATGAGAATGTCAGTCGACATCTATAAAATCTGTCATTTAGAATTCTCGCCATAATTTCTCTACCCCACGTGTACTATTTCGTCTATAGCCTAGTGTCCTACGCTTTGATATACTACAACTGTCGAAATTAACCTTGAACAGGAGCCGATATAATCTTAGCTCTTATTGATCCACCAGTACGCATACCTTCTACCATTAGTCTCCAGTTAGAATAGGAGAACAAGTCAGGCGAACTTCTATTACTATATTGAGGGGACCTAGCATATTTATCTCAAACACTCATCAGTTCATATGCACGGATCGTCAGACAGCAATGCACCCCAATTAAGAAATAATTTGCACACGATGATGCCATATAAGTGAAAGACAACTGTACACAACTAATCAGTAATAATTAACAAATGGTAGGAAGTATAACAATAGTTGATGGGTCTAACAGAAATTTACAATACCAAGAATAGAAATATAATAATCTAATTATCTAATAATTATACAACAAAAGAAATAATAGATCTGTAAAGTAGCTTCAGTTTCTCTAATATTCGCTTCATATCAACAGATTGTTAAACTAACCAAATATGAAAAAGATCATAAGAACATTGGAGGGGGACAGCTGGGAATGTTGGTAAACAGGTAATACAATCGCTCATGTTATCAGGTACAAAATGGACTCATAATTACTTTACTTCGCAGACTCTTGGCCCCTCTAAATTATGACAACTTGAACCGATGAACTATAATTATCGAAAATTCTATGATAAAATTCCACATACATCCACAGAAAAATTTGATAAACAATTAAAGTATAACCACTCAAAAATATTGTCACATGTTAAATTTATGAACACAGATATACATAAATACTGTGCTGAATGAATAACAAAACACATTAATATTTAGAAGTGATTGGTATTCTGCTTCACAACTCAGTCAGTTAATCAGTTATAAGTAACATAGAAACTGGCACATATGTTGGTACATCATATTAGCACAGAGAAATGAAAATCTTAAGAAAAATGCCGTAACAGAAGTAGTAGCCGTACCAGGGATAACAGAAGAGATTAGCTTTACGTAATATGATCCAAGATTGAATTCACGGAACCAAAAGTATGTAACGACTTTGATCCAAGGGAAAACAAAAAAAATTGAATGTATCTTCACCACTACGACTGATTCTGAGTCATTTCATCCAATGTCTTCAGTGATTTAATCACGATAATCAGCACTTATCAACCTGATCAGTAGTTAATGACTACACAAATGAAATATGGTCAGTGAGATTCAACATAAATATAACTACAGGCAAATAAGCATTAGGATTTTAGAAACACGATGTGGAATAGGTCTAACCACCAGATAGGCAAATCCAATATTAAGGTGTAAGGCTTTAAGGGCAACAGTATAAAGTATTCATTGATCAAAATTATTTGGACATGAACTCGTTTAGCTTATAACCATTTGGTGTGAATAAGCGTAAAATGAAATCTTTAGAATACTGATATTGCGAAACTGAAGCACATAAGCTGAGGCAACCACTAAAAACTAGGACAACAGTTTTACCCTGGTATAGGACTCTTTAACGGTGTCCATTCAATACCATACCGATGATCCAACCGAGGACTTTTAGGTCTCAAAATGAAATCTTAACATCCAAACAACTGAGTCGATATCCAGTGCTTGCTGATTTTTATTAATTGTCTAACTCAGCTTGGTTTATGATCCTCAATAATACACAACAATCTCCACAAACACAAACTGAAACAGGCAAGTGGATGACTGACAGGACTACTGAGTTCCTAAATTTACCCAACTATTAATAAGAAACAATAGGTTTAGAAGACTAGAAATATAACACATGTACATTAACTTTGTTTGCATATTTCCAAACAGCATTCTTTAATTCAACACAACTCAAACAAATTTTTTCCTATCGCCTAATTTTTATTTTGGCTAATTATCTTTTATTGCACTGTACATCATACCAGATTATAAGATATACTGTACGACCAATCATCATATAGATGTCTTCAGTGGTTATGTTTTCTATAGAAACGAAGCAGAGTTAATAATAGGTCTATAACTAGCTGACATTAACAACTAATTCCCAATTACCAGATTCTACGTCCAACTAAAAGTTTGGTGGTATAGATTATGAGAGAATATTGATGATTTAAAACTATATTATACAACCCTGTAAGTCATATTGATGACATGGAGTCATTGTTTCAATTTCTTCAAATAAATAAATACATAATTAAAGCCAGTAGTAGTGAAGTTCAATTACCTCACTAAATTCATGTTTCAAAGGCAAAATTGCGCTCATCTAACCTTGAAGTCAGTTATTATCGTACATTAAAATAAATGATGGCTTAATATTTATTGGTATATCTCCAATGATTCCGGAAGATCTCTTAATTAATCAAGTGACCTACTATCATTATATTGCACCTCTAAACTTATTCACTTATACAAAATGGATACTCTAGTGTCACGATTGATTAAGGATACTTCCAATCTCTTTATGTTACCTGCTTATACTGATGAAGCCTTACAATCCTACATTAAAACCAAAAGCAACCGTTAACCCCTACATACTTAGATTTCAATCAACACTGAAAAATAGCATAACTAGTGACTTAACTGACACAACCTACGAAATTCTGATTCGCGACAGAACTCCACTGGTTAGCAAGTCATAATAATGCTATGTAACACCACGTACATTAAACCTTATTATCCAAAAATTGACGAACTCATATCAAACAAGCCAAAAAAGAACTAATATGTACGCTTTTACAAAATGTATTTCGTCTTCAGTCAAATTACTGAAAATGAAAATAATGAATGTCATTCACAATAACTGTTTTGCACAAAATGCGAACTTCACTTAATAACTCTTAATTAATAAATAACAAGAAAAAAAGGTGAAGTACACATAATTATTAATGTTATTAGATGAATACTTAAAACACTGTGTAAGTTTTAAAGAAAACATGACTGAAAAAATCAACGAAAATGACTGATCATGTGTTGCGTATGTGTGGTTACAATAGATATATCGGTAGAGTGATGTGGGAAGAAACACAGACCCAATAAACTTTTGCAAATAGGACCGTGACCAATATTGAATTTTCATGAAGATATGCAGTCTTCCACTGATCCGTATATACTTTCATCACTGTATGCAATGTAGAGGAAGAGATCACGATCATGATGTTCCTAAAAGTAGGTCGAAATCGAAAGGCTCATTATAAAAATACCATATATGTAAGTGTTGAATCCAATATGTACAAAGCTATATTATTATTTATTTATTTATTTCAACACATAGATAATGGTACAAAGAGGCACCAAATACATATGCGCCACACAAATCTCATCCGATATG